ACTACAATTACCAGCAGAGATTGATGTTGGGGTGACAACCCTACAACCAACATATGACCCTTAAAATCCTGACACACCCATTTCCTGTGTGTCTGTATATTTGAGTGAGTATGTGCGTGGGCATGCCAAAGGTGGCGTGCACAGGCATTTGTGCGTGTCTATATATGTGTGTGGGCTTATATTTATGAAACATGTCCTGCACAGTCACACCGTGGGAGTTAGCAGGTCATCTTCCCAAACCATTAATCACTGCCGACAGCTCATAAGGGCCCAATCTGCATGTGAAAGAACTGCATGTGTTTGCGCGTGTGAGCGCGAGCGTGCATGCACGTATTTGCATGTGTGCATTTGACTGTGGGCGGTGTGGTTGCAACAGTCCTCCAACATCGCCCTGTGGCTGCTTATTGAATTAGTAGTGGCCTCTGCTGATACTTATCTGACATGCTGCATGAATGCTTCACCAGTGGCATTTCTTCTGCAGCTTCTGTCAATGTCAGCTCATCATGGGATGAGCTGCATGCGGCTGATTGGTCGCTAACAAGTCCTAATGTGGAGAGCAAATAATTACAACTGATAAAGCGTGAAATGTGCCAAATAATTTAACATTTTGAAGTTGAACTTTGTGGATAAAAGGTTAAATGGCAAAATGAATGAGTGTTCTATCAATCACCCAATAACTGGGTTTTGACATAAAGGCATCAAGTACCGTAATCAAAATAAAATAATTTGGGGTTCGATAGTGAGAAAGAGGGATGAGGAACGGACAAAACATTGAAAGAACAAGAGAAAACAAGCACTTAAAACATAGATAAGTCCAGTCACAACTGTTAGGTGTCAGAGAAATTGATAAAAAACAACTCAAAGGTCAACTGAGTGAGGAATACATTTGAAAGCTGGTGTAACCCTAGCGTATAAGGACACAGCGGTTGTTAAATATTTTCATTTCACATTGATGAAAGAGCCTGTTTTGTATTTCCCTGCTCACCTCCCTGGACAGAGGCAGGAATGTTAAAGCTCTCTCTTTTCTGACCAGGTTGACCATGGCTTGTTGCTTTACTGGAACATTTGGGATTCGGGTTTTGTGGAATAATAGTGTTTTTTTCCCCTCTCTCTCTCTCTACCCCCCGACATGAAAGGGACTAGTTTCGTTATTTGCATTTTTATGCCTGAGTGTATTTTTCAAGTGGGAATAGAAATCCTGTGAGCAGTGTCAAGTCCCAGCGCTGCTGTGTCCTGGAGTGCATCAGTCTGCTTTTCATCTTCGGCCTAGCCTAACTGCTCTCTGCTCCTCCTGTGCCATATCCTCAGATTCTCCCTCTCCACCTCCCTCTGTCTGCTGCTTTTCATTATTTTCCTAAGTTTTCTCACATGTTATGCTAATGATTTTGTTTTGAATATTGAATTCCGTTTGTTTTCACTTCCTACAGTTTAAGTATATTTTTCCGTTTCAGTTACAGTAGCTTGTGGTAAATTAATTAGGGTTGTATTAAATGGGTTTTTTTCTATTTACAATTAAAACACTTTTCATGAAGGTGCTGTATTCCTTTAAATTAGTGATTCATTGTTTCTTTCCCAATGTCCACACCATCCACAGCACGTTTACTTTCCCCTTTTTCTATCTCCCCTGCTCAGTCTGCTGCTCAACGCCATCAGAACACTTTCTTTCTGTTTGTCTTTGCAGCTTTCCAGATAGTGTTTCCATTGCCACGAGAGCTAAGCTTGTATTATGCACATCTGCAGGGATTCTCAAATTGCAACCTGGCAATGTGGTGAGAAAGAACCATAGCACGCTTTTTTTTCTCTTCTTCTGCCACAAAATTGGACATTTAGTGCCAAAAACTGTTTGTCTCGACGGCCTTGTTTGCAGCAGTAAATAGGGGGCACATCAGCAAGGAAATTGTTCTGGAAATGGCACTCTCTTGTGTCAGAGGGGGTTAAAAAGAGAGAAAGATGTATGGGTATGTCAAAGCATGCTTGCCTGAATGCTATGTTAGAAGAGCTCTGAAGCAATTTCTTCTTTTCTGTATGTCGGAGTTAAAGATAGGGTGCTGAGGAGATCTTGCCCAGGCAAACAACATGGCAATAACCCGAGACAGTTATGTGTGTTTCTGCATGTGTGTGTGTTTGTGTTTGCAGAGAGTGAATCGCTGTCATTACACAGAGAGGTTGAGGCCGAGCACTCGCTCATAATGCCACAAAATGTTGTATTCGTGTGAAACCTCTTAAATCACGTTGCTTTAATGATTATTCAGTTGAACTCTAAAGAGTTTGATGTTTCTGTACATAAAGAGAACATTAACAAGAAAACCTTTGCTAACCCCACAGGGTAAACAAATAAATACATGGTGCTCATTTCAGAAACAAAGGTTGTTTTTCTAAGTTTTTCATCTGAAAACAATGATAACTAGGTTTGTTTGTGCCTAACACACATACACACAGACACACATCAACATATATTTGAATACAAACAAGCACACACACACACAAATGCACACAAACAGCTGGTGAGTTAAACAGACACATTTATGGCGCTGTCAACAATGTGTGTATTTATGGATGCAATCTGTGAGGTCAAATGTGTTACTGTCAGAAATGGGCGGAATTATTTCTCCTTGAATAATTAGTTTTGAACCACACACACTGACACACATGCACATAAAGTCTTTGCATATTGATTTGCACATTGATTCAGGAGATATTAAAGCTCCGATGTTATTAATCATTGCTGATTATGCTTTATAGTGAGCTGAGTTATGATTGAGGAGAGGAGAGGAGAGGATTGTGTTTGCAGGTTAAAAAGAGGCCAGCCAATAAAGCACTGCTGCTCAGAGCACATCTTTATTCTTTATACACAGATGGGACATCAAATACATTTTTAAACTGGCTGAAAATGTTGTTTTGGTGAGCACTGGACCACAATGCGATGACATAGACTTGTACTCAGATTGTTTTGCATTATCTGTGAAAATCCATCCAGTTTAAGTCATTCTTAATAGTTTCCGCACAGTTTGTACCCCCTCTCCGCCAACACTAAAAAGCCGCTTGGTTACAGTAAATAATTAAACTGTTCTGTACGTCTGAGCAGGGATTGATGAGCACGGCGGCGTCCTGGCCTTGCCCTCTGTGATATGAAGGAAAGATTATGTGACATGATGTCATTTCATCGGTGCAATCATAGCCGGACACAGACCCTCATTAATAAGAGCTATGTAGTGTCAGCTCACAGGGCAGGAGGTAAAGAAGAAGAGGGTTTAGAAAAAAGTAGATGATGAAAGGAGAGGAGAAGAGAGGAAAACAGAGCCGAAGAGAAACGGTAGATGAGAAGTGAGTGTGAGGCAGGAGGAAATAGGAAAGAGAAAAGCTTGCCAGTGGATGGAAAGAATATCAGTAAAGTGGCATGTGTTCAGATGAAAGAGCAAAGGAATGAAAAGCAAATGGAAGGATAGGATAAGGTGGAAATGCAATGTCTAAAACTTGAGACTTTTGGGCAGGGGTGTCCAACTCAAGGCCCGGGGGCCAAATCTGGCCCGCGACTTCATTTAATGTGGCCCGCAAGAGCTTGCAAAGAATATAATACGTTTATTATACGGTTACATGCCACTTTACAGAGGCCTGTCCCACAATGCATCTCATTTTGTGACATGCGCACTGAAGAGACTTGCAATTATTTGCCCTGGACTTCTGCTTTCAAACTTAGTTAGTTATTTCCCAATCCGAGAATAACCCAATTCAGAGGCAATAATGTAATATAATACATTATTTTATATATATATATATTATATATTTATATAGTTACAACCGGCCCTTTGAGTGCAACCATAATGCTAATGTGGCCCGCGATGAAATTGAGTTTGACACCCCTGCTTTAGGGCAACACTCTTTTATGACGCAGGTCTTTGTGCCTCTCTGGTCTCATTCCTTGGTCAGTCACCAAATGCATCGGTTTCAGACTTCTCCAGATTTTTTTCTGTAAGAAGTTTTATTTTATGATGTTCATTTTGTACTCTCTTAGCAAATAATGTTGCACTATTTGAATTGTACATGAACTGATAAGATTGACCTTGCTGAAAATGGTCTTGCGTAGAAACCATTTTTATTTGATTGTGACTTTTTAAAATACTTGACTTTTCCTATTTATTGTACTGCTATTTATTTATTGTTGTCTGCTGTACTCTATTTAATTATGTTTTTATTCCTCTAGTCTTGTTGTGGTCATTTAACATCTTGCCAAGGACAACAGTTGAAAATTAGCCTGCTGGCTAATACTGGCTCATTTACAGCAATGTGGATTAATGTGCACTGTCCTTTAAATAAAATAAACAAACAAACAAACAAACTTTCATCTCACTTCTGTATATCACATACCTGAACAGACGGAGGTACTGTTGGTAATCCATCACATCGAACATCATCAGTATTCTAGCTTGTTTTGTTTTATAATGACAAACTGCTACTCTGAGTGTGCAGCAAGGTAGTGTGGATACCTTTTTAAAGTCCGCCGTTAGGAAACTCAGGGATTTGGCTTCCAAAAAGCAGTATTTTAAATTCAAGAGACCATAAATTAAACATTGACACCAGAGTCATGTTTTATTTATTGTTTGTCTTTGGGTGGGGTTTTCTGACAATGCATTTTATGAAGACAAATGACACCACTCACACACTATAAAAACACTATCCTATAAATGGGCCTACCTCATCATGTTAATGTAACTTTTACTAAGATAAAAGCAGACATGACACAAACTGTACTTTATTACACATTACTGAGAGATATGACTCAGACATGAAATATAAAGGTGTATGTCTTTGCGATTTAATTGTTATAGTGAAGTTAAATAAATGGTACCAGCTTGGAAGTCAAGGAAAACATACCAATCGAACAGACTAAGATAGGAAAATCTTTGGTATTAAATAAGCAGTTTGATGACAGCCACACTTTCCAATTAAGTCACGCAACCTAACTTCCTGCCTCTCCTTTTTGGTCGTGTTCTCCTCTCCAGGTGTGATGCACGAGCGACAGTTTGCTGGAACTCAGTTTGTCTGCAGTGTTGTCGCGTCCCACGTCAGCCACCAGCCCTCCACCAGCTTCAGCTTCGTCTGGATCGCCCCCCCGCCCGGCACCGGCTGCGTCAACTTCCTGTAAGTCATGTGAGAGAGTGTGTGTGTGTGTGTGCAAAAAAGAATGGCCAAGAGAGAAAAAGTTGGATCAGGATCTTTGCAGCCGCCACGTGTCTGACCCAGACATGGAAGTCGTAAACTGTAACAATGATATCCGTTTCAAATGTTGTGGGGCTGCATATCGACCCAGTAAGCCAGAGTGAGGCTTATCAGCTGACATTATGTTGGGTGATTTCTCTGTTTGAGAGGATGTGGTGAGGCCATCCTCAGAAAGAAGCATGCATGACTGGAAAGAGGCTCAAATGGGGACAGAGATAATGTGTGCGTGAGCATGTGTGTGTTTCCTCAATACCTTGCTTGACGTGGCCTTTGCAGTGGCAGGTGTGTGTGTGTGTGTGTGTGTGTGTGTGTGTGTGTGTGTGTGTGTGTGTGTGTGTGTGTGTGTGTGTGTGTGTGTGTGTGTGTGTGTGTGTGTGTGTGTGTGTGTGTGTGTGTGTGTGTGTGTGTGTGTGTGTGTGCTTTCAATGCTGAGAGTTAACGGAAATATCCCCATCCTCTCATTTAATGGACTCGGTCCCTCTTCTCATTGGAACATTTTTGAGTGATTGAACAGATCCACTCTTCCCTGGAGGATGGGTGTGATACTCACACACACACACACACACACACACACACACACACACACACACACACACACACACACACACACACACACACACACACACACACACACACAC